GGCATGCGCAATTCAATTCTTGCCCAAGGTTGTAGAAGCGAGTCTATGATCAAGGACTGCTCGAAAACCTACCATACAACCCATGATGAAATTTTCACATTTGATTTGTGGGGGTGAATCGCGTTTAGAGCCAAAATTTAAAACAAATCTGTAAGACAGATTTTGAGCTATTTTTGATCTCATAATTTCTTGGTTTGCGGAAAATCTGTCTTACAGATTTTTATTTCACTTTGCATGAATGTTTTAAAAATTTAAAAATCAGAGCCAATTTCTTATCCCTGAAATTTTGAGGTTGGGTCATACGGGTAGATTTTGAGAAAAACCTGATTTAACATACTAGCGCCCAGTCTCTCCTTAGGTACTTGGTCATTCATTTCGGTCATTTCTTGATGTTGAATTGTTCAAGTTTCACATCGAATGGTAAAAGACTTCAGCAAACAGTAAATAGAGAAAGGAATAACATCTTGGAACATTTTTGAAAAGAGTTAGCAGTTGGGCTGTCATAATCCATCAAAACTGTAGTAAGCCACCTTAATTGGGCTTTGAACAGCCCAGCCCAGGAGCTTTGTTTTTAGGCTTGGCTAAATCTATACATTAAACAATGATGAGCATCACAGCAAAAATAGGGTGCAAAGAGAAGAATCCATTTCACCACCACTCCATGTTTCTCCCTGTCCCTAGTCAGAGCAGCACTGTTATCTGAAAGTTACCTTGTCTAACGCTTTGCCCAGTCTTGTAATTTCTCTCAGTAATCTTATCAAGGCCACTGAAGGAGAACTTGTATCCACTTTTCTCCTAATTTCTTCCATGTTAACATTCCTCTAAATGAAAAAGAAACAAAACAAGGACCCTTAGGGCTACGTTTTCAAAACAAATTTGCAAGAGCATGCTGAAACTTTATCAGCAACCAAAGACACCGAAGCCCAGGGGTGGCTACTGTCATATATGGGCTATATAGGTATGTGCCACTGTGGAGGGTATGGTTTTCAAGCAGTTTACTCTAGGATACGTCATATAAATCAGAGCATTTGGGTCTAGAATAGGGTATCATTTTTTGCAAAACTGACCAGTTGGCTGAAGATTTTACCTAGACTAAGGAAACCAGGAATTGCCACTCAAAAATATGAAAAAGTCAAATCGGTAAGTTTAAATTTACGCAAATAAGCCTCCACCGTGATGATAGATGGGGGGATTTGAGGAGTTTACTCTAGTATAGGGTAGCAAAATTCAACTGAACTAACTCTGGTTTAGGCTAAGGGTCCCTGGGTCCCAGCGGCACATACCCAGAAATTTCCAAAGTACCTCCCGGGCACCAAAGGTAACACCCAGTAAGCCAGTCTCAGTCTTTCCCTTCTTTTTGAGCCTAAAAATTATTTAAGAAAGTTTTAAATACGGGACAAAACGAGGGAAATATTTTACGGGGCGATATAAGCTTACCTACCCTGTCAATGTGACCTGACTTTTCAGCGAAAGTTAGAATATTTTGTAACGAACCGACGTTAATATATGTAGAGGACGGTGACCAAGGGTTCGCTGTCTCCTCAACAAAGGATGAACGCAACATTATCTACTGGAGTCGATAAAATTTAAACTGAAATGAAGTTGAAGCAAAACCACGTTTGCACAAAACAAAAAAATTGGCGGACTTCTGGGAGGGAGTTTAGAACTCCCGCGTCCTGCGCTACAAAAATTACGTAACATCGGGGGAGGGTGGGGATTACTTTTTTTTCTTTCCTTTTCTTTTCTTTTCTTTTCTTGGAGGACGTATTTCAAACGTTTTATCCAGAATGAAACCCTCTTTATGATTTGACTTGTTAACCTGTTCTTCGATAACAACTGATCCGGGAAATTTAACTCTTGGAGGTTTACTTGTTAACTTTTTCCTGAGACCTCCTCGCTGAAATCAAGTTTATTGCATCATTGCAACGAGGCTGCAAAATAAACATGGCGGCTCCCTTCGATAAAATTTACAGGATGTACCGTCACTAAATTCATGGCCTGCTTCTACAGAGAAGCAATGAAACCGTTTTTTACAGCTAAGAAAGAAAGGCTGAGCAGTGCAACATGGCTTCCCTCGAGCAGGAACGTCATAGGGATGCTGAGTTCGGCATCGCATTGCCATCGGAACTGTGGTTGGCCATTTTCAAGAAATTTCACCCCGTACACGACGACCTTTTTACGATAAGTTTAGTTTGCAAGAAGTGGCGAGATCTCATCTATACAAATCCCGATCCTACGCTTTGGGAGGACATCACCCTAATAAATCTCAGAAACTGCAGCTACGAGAATGCTACTTTTGTCAGATTCAAAAATATCCTCAGAAGATTTTGCCGTCATATCAAGCTTGTGCGGCTTCAAAAATGCCACGAACTGTTCACAGAAATCCTACTCATTTATGCATCTTCCCTAACAGTTTTGAATACTCTTGAAATAACTGGAATGTCATGGTCAAAGAAACTACTTCGAATGTTGAGATGCCCCAAATCACTGAAGACTGTGTTCCTAGAAGCTTCGTTGATATCAGAAGGAATTTTTAATCAAGATGATTTACAGTACATTGTCGAAGGTTTTCCCCAAGTGAAAAGCTTTGGTTTGCAGTATTCAGTTATCAAACCAGATTCTGTCACTGCAGTTAAAGGCGTTGTGTCTTCCAAGTACCGCCACCACGTAACATGTTTGTTGCTAGAGAGAGTGAGAATGGAGTCTTCTGATCTCAAAGACATTGTTAAGAATCTGAAAGGGCTAAGGAAATTTGGCTATGGGAATGACCAAATTCATGGTTTGCCATCCATTCAGCTGCTTCAATTGAACTCTAAA